CCTGTGCGTGAGTCTTCGAGGTGTCTGTGCCCCGCACAGACACGTTGTCCTTGGACAAAGCAGGTGTCGCCTGCTCGTGGTTCTTTACAATGTCAGTACCCAGCACTGACACGTCGCCTTGTCGTGTGTGGGTTCTCGCTCTCACACGTGTCATCGCAGCTGATAGATCCGTATCAGCTGTATTCTGCGGTAGTTCGAGCGCAACCGTAGATCCCCCCACTTAAGGAGGAATCCACCGCCCCGAGCGTGCTCGGACGGCGTGGATGCCGCATGGCGTTCACGAAGAACGGTGTATGCCCAGTCGAGGCATGCACTGTGTTGTTGATGGCGAACTCGGCCATCGGCAAGTAGTCGCTCCAGTTGTGGAACGACTGGGCGTAGCTCTTCAGCAAGTCCACGAGCACGCGGTTCACGCGCTCGGTTTGCCCGTCCGTCTGCGGATGATCCGCAGTCGACATTGAGAACTGCGTTCCAAGAAGTGTGAACACTTCTTGCCAGAAACGCGCCTTGAAGCGCGGATCGCGGTCCGACACAAAGTTGTTGGGCATGCCATGGTGCTTGAACACCATGTCGACGAACAGGCGTGCCGTCTGTACGGAGGTCACCTCCGCTGCGACAGCAGCGAGATGCACCAGCTTGCTGAAGCGGTCAACAAAGATCACAATACCAGTCTTCCACCTGGAATCGCGCGGAAGACCAAACACGAAGTCCATCGAAACGGAGTCCCAACACTCCGACGGAGTCGGCAGTGGTTGCAGAGGAGCCTGCGAGTGAGGTGCAGGCTTCACTCGCTGGCAAACATCGCAAGTACGTACGTACTTGCGCACCCACTTGTACTGGTGGTTCCAGTAGAAGTCTCTCGTGAGAAGAGAATATGTCTTCTCACGTCCCGGATGTCCTGCCGTGTGGACATCGTGATACTCGTACATGATCCTGCTGCGCAGGTCAGGATCATTCGGCACGACAATGCGGTCCGCATTGTCATCTATAGTGCTGTAAAACAGTAGACCGTCGTGCACACGATACCGGTGTGCACTCGCTCGTAGACGGGGGCCAACTTCCGACGTGATTTGTCGGAAGGAGCTGAGAGAAACTCGATCAGCTGTTTTGCGAATGCGTCATGCGCATACGCGGCCTTCACCTCGTCCAACAAGGACGACGACGGTGTATATGTCCGAGCGACGCCAATCCGGTTGACGTCGACTGTCTTGATAGCATAATCCGGTCATCGCGACAACGTGTCCGCGACGACATTCAACCTTCCGGGTTTGTACTCGACCCGGAAGTTGTACTCCGCCAAGAAGGACAACCATCTCGCCATTCGTTGCGAGATGTGCGGAGACTTTACAGCCGTCCGCAACGACGCGTGGTCCGTATAGACCACGGACGGCGTGTTGCCGAGTAAGTACACTCGGAACTTCGCGAGTGCGTACTTCATGGCAAGGAGTTCCTTGTCATGTACCGGATAGTTTTGCTCAGCTGGCTTTAACTGACGCGACTAGTAGTAGACGACTCGATCACGGCTCTCGTGATCGAGTTGCATTAAATCACATCCGATCGCGAAATCGGATGCGTCACACACTCCGTGAAAGAGACGATCTTGGGCGGCCACAGCCAAGATCGGCGCTTCAGTCAAGCTGGGATTGACTGCATCGAACGCCTGCTGACACTCAGCAATCCGTTCCCACGCAGCTTCCTTCTTCAGAAGCTGCGACAGCGGGCGAATCTTGCCTGCGTAGTTGTCCACGTACTTGCACAAGTACGTGGCAAGGCCAAGAAACTGCCACAGCTCCTTAACGTTGGATGGCGTAGGCCATTCATTGATCACTCTGACCTTCTCGGGGCCAGGGCGTACGCCATTCTTTCCAACGAGACACCCTAGCACGGGTATCTCACTCGCACCGAAGATGCACTTGTTCAGGTTCGCATAGAGCTTCTGCTTGCGCATGAGCCCAAGCAGTTCCCGGAGATGCTCCTTGTGCATCTCGACGTCTGTATTCTCGTTCACAGCCCGGCTGTGAACGTACACATCGTCGAAGTAGCTCGGTGCGAAGTCGCGCACCGAACACAATAGATGCATCACGCACCTATTGAAGGTCGCAGGGGCGTTCTTCAGTCCTTGCGGCATAACCATCCACTACCAAAGCATACCGCTTGGAGTGCTTACCGCCGTGAGAGGTATATTGCTCTCACGCATAAGGATCTGATAGAACCCGTCTCTCAGATCAAGAGCACTGTAGATGGTGCTCTTGGATATCGAATCGATGATGACATCTTGTCGGGGATCGGCGTCTGTGCCGGTATCGTCGCATCGTTCAGCTTTTTGTACGCATGAACGATGTGCCAACCACCCTGTGGCTTCTTGATACAGAACGTTGGTGCGCTGTGCGGGGACTTTGATTCCCCACTTGTCCTGCCTTGCGACGACTTTCGAAGAAGTCGTTGATTGTCTTCACGTGCTCCCACGGCAGTGGCCACTGCCACGTCAAGCAATACTTCGTCCCCGGCACGAGATCAATCTCGTGCTGTATTCCCTTGTCCTGCGGAAGCTCCGCAGGGATCTCGTCCGTGAGCACATCTCTGTGCTCTCGCAGTATCTCGTAATAGGACTCGACTTCAGTGAGTCCCAACTCTGCTCCTCAAAGCGAAGCGTTCCTTCTTCGTCTTGGCACTGAGAGTATCTTCACTCTCAGTGGCGCTTCCAGCGAAGAGTTGTCTCAACTCCTCTGCTTCGCTTGTCATTCTTTCGCGGTCCAAAAGATTGCATAGCTGATCGATGCGTCCATCGTACAGGTCCTTTGCGAAGCGCTTCCAGCTCATGACTGGAAGCTAGGTCAACTCCGACGTATCAGTCGGAGGGTTCTCCAACTACATCTTCTTGTACTGGTATCCAGCACAGGCCCGCATCAAGGCGTTCAACGACTCGACGGCCACTGTCGGCTCTTGTGTCTGTCCGGCAGACATACCTTGAAGAGTCTCGGTCCGGGACCGAGACTTGCGTAGCGTCTTGTGCTTGTGTCGTCGCTTCTTCTTGTGAATCCCGGATTCACTTGTGTTTCGTCCAGGCCCGGCCATGGACGAATGTTCCTTGATACCACCGGCAGACATTCCGGTCTGCGGGCGATCGCCGGCAGGTTCTTGTACCAGCGGGCACGCGTCATCAAGCCCGGCTTGATCGCACCCTGCTTCGTGCAGCCCGGCTGCACGACAGCACGCAAGCTTCAGTGCTGGACGTTTGCAACCGTCCACACAGCTTGTCGCATCGACTCCCGGAGTCGATGCATTGTCGTCACCTCTACGCCTTACGGCGGTGCAGTGTGTCGCAACTCCCGGAGTTGACACACCGTTATCACCTCGACGCCTCACGGCGGAGAACTTTCTCGATTCCGATATCGAGTGTGTGTCAACTCCCGGAGTCGACACGCTGTTGTCACCTCGACTCCTTACGGCGGAGAATTTCTTCGTTGTGTCTGGTCCCTGACCAGACACTCCTTTTCGGATAACGACTCCTGGAGTCGTTACAGCCCGCGCGCTCCACGCGCTACGACCGAAGACAGCAGCGCGAGCCACTGTCTCTGAAGGAGGTTCGGATGCACCG